CGTTCAATAAATTGTCAACTACCTTATAATAGTTGTAGTTAATTTTCGTTAAATCTTATTATAAGTTAATTTCAATAAAATCATTGTTAAATTTTTTTTTGTGACGATTTTTTTGCATACGTCACTAAAAATTAATAATTAGTGACATTTTTTGTCACAATTTTTATAAATTGTTACTATGATTTATAATTAGTGACGTTTTTCTGTGACGAATTTTTTAAATTATCGCTAAAAGCTGAAAATCAATATTTTTTTTTGTGACGATTTTTTTAGATTGTCGCTAAAACTTATAATTAGTGATTTTTTGTAACAATTTTTTTAAATTGTTGCTGATAATTAACAATTAGTAATTTTTTTAATAGTATTTGATGAAAAATGTAATTAATTATCATATGACCAATTAGATAATAAATTCACATATTAGGATCTATACGTAAGTCCATTTTTAATAAATGTTGTTATAATAGATGAGATGATCAACTCAATATGGTATATAAATATGATATAATATTATTAAAAATGTGTATTTACGTTACGTATTTTCTTATTAATAAAATTAACAAAAATTAAAAAATAAAAGAAACAGGGAAGAAAGATCTATTTCAAAGGAGAAGATCTCTTGTTAGTTCATATTAAGGAGAATCAAACTTCCATAACTTCACAGAAATTAATACGTTCAAAATATATTCAACATTTTTATTAATAATAAACTTGATTTAAATACAGAAAACTTGTAACAAACAAAATTTATAACCTTAAAAAATAAAAAACAACCTAACCTATCATACATACTCTACCACTAACTAATTAAAGGGGATTTTTTTTAGGATCTCTGGTATTATGATTTTATAGCATAAAGGATATCTAATATTTTCATAATGTCTAAGATCCCTCAAATCAATCCAGAGAAATTTCAATCAAAATCAGGGAATTTCTTTAGACCAAACCAGAGAAAATTCAATCTAAACTAGAGAATTTCTCTAACCCAACCCAGAGAAGATTCAGTTCAAACCAGAAAAAATTCAATTCAACCAGAGAATTTCTCTGGACCAAACTAGAGAAATTCAACCCAATACACAAAGCAACGATTGTTATGCACAAAAGTGAAAGACAATCCCAGCAAAAAAACACAACATTTGCCTAGTTGAAGATGTGCATCTACAGAGTCCCTCAGTGCCTGCTAAAAAGTGACGACAAAGCCTACATTTCCCGGACCGTCTCCTTGGGGCCTTACCACCACGGGCGGAGAAATCTTTGCACCATGGGTGTTCATCTTATCAACATCTGTTCATTTTGATGTTCCAGAATTTTGGTCTCACAAGCCCCTTACTAACAATGGCCTTGGCAGTTACAGCCTTGGTAAGTGTTTTGACAGCAATATTTATCTTTCAATTTGTCTTTAAGAGTTGATCACTTTGAAGTTGCTACTTGGTGGTTGTAAAGCTTTTGAAACATATTCTTAATGACCACAATTGAGAATGTAAAAGTAACTGAGTAACAAAGTCATCATTCATGTAATGTCATGCCTTTGCAATCTAATTGTTGTTTCACTATCATGAATGCCCTTAGAAGAATGGTCAACAAGAAACATTCTGATCCTTCAATAGATTGACTTTTTGTGTTAGTTGGAGCCCAAGATCGCATCCTTATTCTTATTGAGGATCTTGTAGTTCACGGTGGTGAACACAGACAATGCACCGCAGCGGAATGAAGAAGGTTGTGACGAAAGAGGTGATCGATTTTGTGAGGAAGAGAGGGAGAGGCCAATTTGATTTGAGAAAATCAAATTTCTCTGTGATTTATAGGTGTAGGGTTGAGGGACCTTAGATATTATAAAATAATATTGTGAATCTCTTCCATTCTAAAAATGAGAGAGTGACCTTAGACTAATTTTTCCCTAATTAAATAAGATAAGGAAAAGAAACATAAGTATGGCCAATTGATTTTGATTTTTTAAGGGAGCGTACTTTGTGTGAGAGTGTATTAATATAAATATGTATAATAAAAATAAAGAATGAAGTGTATTTGGAGTAAAGTGAAATGAGAACAGTAGCTTCCTAAAAAAATAAATACAAAAAAACTTCATCTATATTTATTGAAATTTTTTACATATTAAACCCGTCTCTTTATTTCATTTTAGGGTAAATTACAAATGCACCCCCCTGAGGTTTGCTTAAAATACGAATTGTTCCCTGTGGTTTGGAAAATTATAAATATCTCCCTATCAGAATTTTTTATTTAACATAATTAATTGAAAAAGTGAAATTTTTAACTGTTTACCTATACAATAATAAAATTATCTGAATTATAAATTCAAATAAAATTTTAACATTATTAAAAATTATTAATTAACTTGATGATTTATTAATAAAATAATCTATTTGTTATGAAATTAAAAACCTTAGGGGGTATAATGTAATTTCTAAAACTATAATAAGTAATTTGTAATTTAAATAAATCTCAAGAGTGTGTTTGTAATTTACCCTTAATTTTAAAAGAGTTTTATATACTTATTAATTTTGAACCGAGAACAATGGTTTTTTTTTTTTTAAAAAAAAAAAATTGATTAGAAGTTATGTGGACTTATTTGCCACATTAAAATTAATTTTATCTGAAATATTTATTTATTTTAATCACGTTTTTTTTAAAATAAAAATAAAAAATTTAATCATTGAATTCATTGAAATCAAATAACAAATGAATTCTCAAAGTAAAAGAAACTAGAAATTTAAAAATCGGCTCATATTCTCAACGGAAAGAATTAATTTGCTTTATAAAAAGTGAAAGTTAAAACGACCATTAAAAATATCAATAATGACCCGGATCCTTTTTTTTTCCATCTTCTTAACCCCTTTTTTACCTGATTGATCACTTTTTTTTGTTTCCATTCTCCTCCAATCACCACCCGCCACGTGTGTGGGGAGATGGTGGGAGTGGTGATTGGAGGGGGTCTCAATCATGACCCTAAAAATATATATTGTAAATATTTATGATTAGTATTAAAATTGAGTAAATTATATTTTGTCCCTTTATGTTAGTCATTTTTCACTTTAGTTCTTAAAGTTTTTTTTTTTTTTTTCACTTTGATCATTCATATTTCAAATTTTTTCTAATTTACTCCTAAAATTAATTTCTCTTCAAAATTAGACAGAAAATACCACAATAAGTGTCACAAAATATATTATTATATTAGGATTTGAATTTGTGTCAGATGTGTAAATCATATAATAAAATATTTTTATGTCATAGATTGCCAATGTGTCATTTTCTGTCTAACTTTTAACAAAAATTAACTTTAAGAGTAAATTGGAAAAAAATAAAAACATGAAGAGTCAAAGTGGGAAAAAATAAACTTTAAGAGCCAAAATGAGAAAGTGACCCAACATAAAAGAGGCAAAGTGTAATTTATCCTATTAGAATTATAAGAATAAATAATGAATTGTGATTTTTTCCAATATATTTAACTATATTTATTATTAGTTCTTTCAATACATTTAATTGTATTTATGGCACCATGCTTATTTAATGAATCAATTTGTGGAAGTCCAAAAATCCCATTTCCCTTCTACCTAATAGACTTGAGTAATGCTAGAGACCCCAAATATTCTACCAAAAGTTTTACCAAATGTCTCACATGGGTGTGGGACCCACATGGGACCCACATTGTGTGGGTCCCACACCTATATGACACATTTGGTAAAATTTTTAGTAAAATTTTTGGGACCTCTAGCATTTTTGAATAGACTTTTGACTTTGATTAGGTTTTTTTTTTTTTTTAAAATCAAAATATAGAAGATTATTTATGGTACAAAGATTATATTCGGATATTCAGAATTCAACAAATTATAGAAATTCAATACCTAATTTCAACAAAGAGTAGCATAATATGAAATAAACAACCAATCCAATTATGAGGCTTTATTTTTTATTTATAGTGAATGTTTTTATATTTTAATCAAAATTTTAAAATTTTAGATACAGTAGTTGCATCTAAAATGAAATTTTGATTAAAATATGAAAAATATCAAAAAATAAAAAAAATTAATTTTTTTCTTTCAAAAACTAAACTAAATAGAATTCTTTTAGATTTTGTGTACAAAAATTTATTAACAAAATAATGGTTATGGGCTCTTTTTACATATAACACAAAATGCATATGAATAAGTTTTACACTTAAAATGATAGACCCACAACATTACACCTAAATTGTTCCGTACCTAAATTATAGTAATTAAATATTATATATTTATTTATGAGAGTCGCTATTAGTATTCTATTTTATTTTAAATAAACTTCCTTCTTTATATAATAAGGACAAAAAAAAATGAAGTGTATTTATAATTATGTATAATAACATCAAAGAATGAAGTATATATATAACAAAGGAAAAATGTTTGAGGGCCACAAAATCAATGGCTCAAATGGCTCGAAACTGTTAAAACGACGTCGTTTTGGCTTGTTTTGTGCATAAAACGACGTCGTTTTGACAGTTTCGAGCCAAATGACTTCTTTTTTTATTAGATTAATTAAAACTTATTTTTATCATTTGCTATATTGGTGTATTTTATTACTTTGAATGGACTGATTATTAAACAATAATATTTGCCATTAAACATTGTAGTTAGTCACTAAAGCAACAGTTAATTAAAAATTAACGAATCTGAAAAATTCAAGTATAAATAGAGCCCTCTTTGTGCTTTCTATATCATCATCAACATTGCAAAATTAGTAGCTCAAATAGTTTGAAATTGTCAAAATGACATCGTTTTGACTTGTTTTGTGCATAAAACGACGTCGTTTTAACAGTTTTGAGCCAAATGACTTCTTTTTTTATTAGATTAATTAAAACTTATTTTTATCATTTGCTATATTGGTGTATTTTATTACTTTGAATGGACTGATTATTAAACAATAATATTTGCCATTAAACATTGTAGTTAGTCACTAAAACAACAGTTAATTAAAAATTAACGAATCCGAAAAATTCAAGTATAAATAGAGCCCTCTTTGTGCTTTCTATATCATCATCAACATTGCACAATTTGCTGAGAGCTAAAACGTAGTGTGTGTGTGTTTGTGAGCTCGAAACAACACGAATCGAAGACCTTTGAGGACTCTGATCAGATCAATGGCTACCAAAGTCTATATAGTGTAAGACCTAATCAATCCTTTTCTATTTCTGTTTCTTGTATTGCATTTAATTTCCTGTTTGTTGCTTCTTTTTATCGATTAATCTTAATGCGATCTCTCTAGGTTTTTGTGTTCTACTGTGTTTTTAACTTTTGAATCTATGATTTATCTATCTTTTTGGAGTTTTTATTTGGAATTTGAAAATCTTTGGATCTTTTGACTACTATGCATTCTGAATTTTTTGTGGATAACATGCCGAATCTCATTGTTTTTTTAGTTTTGTGTTCACTGTTAGAATTGATCATCTGGGTTGTGAGCAATGACAAGTTTTTGCTAAGTTAGTGATGATTTTGATATTTTTTGGGTTAATTACACCAAGACACTTTAACTAGATTAACTTGTAGTCGTGCATATTGACCCCTCAACTATGAAAATCGCATGAATACCTCCATTTTTGGAGATGGTCTAAGGAGATGAAAGTGATACATTTTTACAGTTGAGGGGTTCAAAATGTGTGGGTTTCTTAGAGGGGATATTTGGCCATAACTCCTTCCTAGAGCCCCTTTTTCTTGAAAAGGACAAGTTATAATTTTTTTGCTCATAAACTCCTCCAAAATAAAGAAATCTTGTAAGAAGGACAAAATTTTCAGATTTATATTTTATGTGACAAATTTACCCCCTTACACACACACTTTCTATCTCCATCAATTTGTCATCTCTCTCTCAGCTCTTTCTTTCTCTATCTTTTTCTAAGAGCTCTCTCCACCATCACCATCACCATCACCATCACCATCACCATCTCCACTACCATGACTACCATCATTTACATTACCTCCATTGTCTCCACCAACACCGTCTCAACCACCGGCACCATTCGTCACCGCGCCACTACCGTTTCGCACCACCATCTCAACCACAAGCGCCATTCGATGTCACTGTACCACGGGCAACCACCATCGTCATCCTTAGCATCTAAGATCTCAGATCTGAGATTGACGACCTCAGATTTGAGATCTATCATCTCAGATCTGTATTCTCTCCCTCTTTTTCCCTTTGTCTCATCATGTTCTATTTTTCAGACAACAAAATTTTACTCTAGTTTGAATCAGATCTAAGGCAATATATGTGCTATCTCTATCGCTCTATTTCTCTATTTTTTTTCTCGTTCTATCTCTATATGTATATATTTTTATTTTAGTTAATTTTATTTATTTTTATTTTTTTGTGGTCAATATCAGTTTGAATATTGATTTTGAGATCTCAAACAAAAATGTTATTTTAATATGTTCAATAATGAAATAGTAAAATTTTACTCTAATATAGAGTAAAAGTAAAATTTTACTCTTTGTTAGAGTAAAATTTTACTGTTAACTTTATTAATTCAATATTTGATTGATTTCTCATTTAATAGCTATATGAATAATGGTAATAATTATAGTAAGTTTGGTGGTTAGTGATAACAATGGCAAAAATTCACTATTTATATGTTTAAAGCAAATAGTAAAATTTTGCTGTCCAAATTAACAGAGTAAAATTTTACTGTCACTGGAGAATCTCGCTAGAAAATTTTCACAAACTGACAGTGATCGCCAAAAAATTGTCGCCGGCCGGGATGATCAACAATGGCTGGCGGTGGTCGGTGATGGCAGATAATGGTTGGTAGTGGTTGTGCTAATTTAAGAAAATGATAGTTTTTGAGGATCTTATTATCATATTTGTTAAATATTTTAAACTGTGTCCTTAATGAATCAAATGTTTTTATTTTGTTCTTTTGGCAATAAAGTTTGAAATTGAGGGACTCATTACCAAAAACCCATAAAGGGATATTTGCTAATAATTGAGGGGGGTTTGGTGTTTCGCACCACCATCTCAACCACAAGCGCCATTCGATGTCACTGTACCACGGGCAACCACCATCGTCATCCTTAGCATCTAAGATCTCAGATCTGAGATTGACGACCTCAGATTTGAGATCTATCATCTCAGATCTGTATTCTCTCCCTCTTTTTCCCTTTGTCTCATCATGTTCTATTTTTCAGACAACAAAATTTTACTCTAGTTTGAACCAGATCTAAGGCAATATATGTGCTATCTCTATCGCTCTATTTCTCTATTTTTTTCTCGTTCTATCTCTATATGTATATATTTTTATTTTAGTTAATTTTATTTATTTTTATTTTTTTGTGGTCAATATCAGTTTAAATATTGATTTTCAAATCTCAAACAAAAATGTTATTTTAGTATGTTCAATAGTGAAATAGTAAAATTTTACTCTAATATAGAGTAAAAGTAAAATTTTACTGTGTAAGAGTAAAATTTTACTGTTAACTTTATTAATTCAATATTTTGACTGATTTCTCATTTAATAGTTATATGAATAATGGTAATAATTATAGTAAGTTTGGTGGCTAGTGATAACAATGGCAAAAATTCACTATTTATATGTTTAAAGTAAATAGAAAAATTTTACTGTCCAAATTAACAGAGTAAAATTTTACTGTCACTGGAGAATCTCGCCAGAAAATTTTCACAAACTGACAGTGATCGCCAAAAAATTGTCGCCGGCCGGGGTGATCAACAATGGCTGGCGGTGGTCGGTGATGGCAGACAATGGTTGGTAGTGGTTGTGCTAATTTAAGAAAATGATAGTTTTTGAGGATCTTATTATCATATTTGTTAAATATTTTAAACTGTGTCCTTAATGAATCAAATGTTTTTATTTTGTTCTTTTGGCAATAAAGTTTGAAATTGAGGGACTCATTACCAAAAACCCATAAAGGGATATTTGCTAATAATTGAGGGGGGTTTGGTGTAATATATATAGTATGTACTCAAAATTTTAATTACAACGATTCATAACTTTTAATGCGTAGTTAAAATTTCACACAACACACACACAACACACACTTTCTCTGTTTCTTGCGTTAATTTCTTGATTGAATTTCGTTTACTGGTCGTAGTAATTAATTAACAAGAAAAAATTATAGTTATTGCTGAAATGCAGATGATAATCCTGAATTGAATTGACAAATCAATTTTATTTTCTGGTATTTTGTGCATAAATGTCACAAGCAATTTGGGTCTTTCCATTTATAGATGTATGCTTGGGTACATACTTCGTCTTTTTTATCCATATTATCAAAATTGTATCTTTTTGGCTCTTAACCCGAAGGCTTGGATATTGCAAATTCTTCACTCAAAAGATCTGTTGAGCTTTTGCTTTGTTACTGTTCAATGGTAATAGAACTAGAGATAAATTAAAGAATCAAATCTTGATGTAATATCTAAACTTTAATTCTTTTAGCATTCATATAACTGTGTTGGCATCACAACTTTGGGATCAAGTGAACCCGTTTCCACAATGCATGACTTGAGAATTTGTAAGATGTTTCTAGTTCCCATACCTCGTTTGTAGATGACCGCAAATGTTATATGAGTCGTGTACTTAATTTGTTTTAGGCATTTTCAGTTTACCATACTGAAGGCACCATTGCTTGATGCAATGGTACAAGTTTAATCAGCCTCACCACCCCTTCCTGCACCCAAGATTGACTGGACCAACTGTGCATAATAGCCTTTGGTATTTACTGACATACAATGGAAATTTATTTCATTTCATTATCTAATAAACAACTAAGATTCTGAAAAATGCTAGTCTTGATAGCTAAACAAACAGTGCAAACAACTTCACCCTATAGTTTTTCTTGCAAAGAATAGAAAATTGGGCATGTATTGTTATAGATAGAAGAGTTTTGTTGCAAATGAAACTCTTTGAAAGCTTGCTTCAAGCATAGTCTGAAAAATACAAAAATGAAAATTATCACAGCATTAGATAAAGGGATACAGGAGACGAGGAAAACTTTCTCCTTTTTATACTAGATAGCCTGACATTTTAAACATCCACATTCGAAGCTTCAACAAGAGATCTGTAGCTGTGCAAGTCTTTGTGCCTCGTTATTCCCTCATTTCTCATATCTTGCCGTACAAGTCTTTGTGCCTCTGTATTCCGTATTATAGTATCAAATTATTCAATTTGAGAGTTTTCAATATAGTTACCTTTCAGCAGGATTTGTGCGAGTTACTATTTTTATGCTAATCTAAACTTCTAAGTAAGTTTGCTACAATATCTTTGTCTAAATCTGATGCTTTAGGCTATAATCAGTTGAGGAATCACATAATTAGAATGTTTCATTCTTCCTCATCGACATAATGCCCACTATGGGGCATTGAGATTTTTTGGCTCTGCTTCAAGAATCCATATGTGTGGGCTTTGTGTCCCTGTTTAAAGGGGTTGATGGTGAAAAAGAACAGATTTTGGGAGGCTGGCTTGCTCCATACTAGGTGCCTTGTGATTAGAGGCCTATGATGCACGGATACGGACATGACACAGACACGACATGGACACAAATTTTTAAAAAATGGGGACACGACACGCTAGGGACACGTTTAATATATAAAATTTATTTATTTATTGTATGTCTAAAATAAAAAGAAAATCATTAATTTTTATACAATTACAATAATAATAAAATTAATAAACATATTTTTTAAATTTTTTTAATAAAAAATGAGTCTTTTTAAATACAAATAATTTATTTTATGAATTTTAGGTTTAACAAAAATAAGGATAAGAAAAAGAAAAAAGAAAAAAAAAAGAGGGAAGAAAAAAAAGGAGGAGAGAGAGAGAGAGAGAGAGAGACGGGTGAATTAGCAAAAGGGGGAAAAAATAAAAAAGAAACAAAAGAAGGGAAAGTGAAATCAGAGAGAGAGAGAGACAGAGAATAGGAGAAGACGAAGAAAAGGGAGGAGAAGAAGGAGACATAAGACGAAAAGGAGGAGGAGAAGAAAAAGAAGAAGAAGAGAGCAGACGAAGAACACCTTTGCTTCTTCAATTGATCTGAATAGGTTAGGGCTTGTCTCCTCTCCTCCCTCGATCTCTGTCTTCTCTCCTGCCTCAATCTCTTTCTCTGTCTCTATTTCTCTTTCTCTGTCTCCTCTCCGCCCTCGATCGCTTTCTCTCAAACAATTAGGGCTTCGATCAACCTCATGCGTGTCCGGAAAGTGTCGTAGCATGTCTGACTGAAAAATTCAAGAAAAAAAAGGACACGTTAGAGAGAGTGTTGGACATGTGTCCACCGCGTGTCTGAAGTGTGTTCGTGTCCGACACGTGTCCAACATTCATACACAGGCCCTGGGGATGTGTCGGTGCTTCATTGGTAGAGGCAATGAAGTGGGCATGGATAAAGAGAGTAAAGAAATTAAGGAAAGAAGATGAATTTCTTAAAGCATCTTTGATAATGCTAATTTGCAAGGTTGTTAAGATCACGATCCGGATCGTAGGATCGTACGATCCTACGATCCCAAATATACCATTCGATCCAACTTGTATTTTGGATTGGGCCCATGTTAGGATCGTGGTGGGATCGGTAGGATCATAATTGGATCGTGATTCCATGCGATCCTGTTTAATAGGGATTTTTTTTGTTGCCTTTAAGTCAAACATCCCTTTATCGGACAAAGGAAGGACAAAAAATAACTCTCTGAGTTGCGATTAGGGCAAGAGAAATTGGACATCAAACTTCAAATTTTGTGTAACTACTAACTAGGTATGCTCCTTTTCTGTCTTCTTCTTATTCGCTGCTTCTTCTTCTTCTTCTTCTTCTTCTTCTTCTTCATTGCTCTTCTTTTTCTTCAAATCTTCCTTCTCTGTCTTTGTCTTCTTCTTCTTCTTCGACTCGTCTTTGCTTCGAATCCACCTTCTCTGTCTTTGACTTCTTTTTCTTCCCTTCAAGTTCTGTTTCTATTTGATGTATTATATATATAATATTTATATATATATATATATATATGTATGCATAAAAGCCAAAAAACTTATTTTTTTTCAATCACTTTTTTTTTTATATATATATTTATAATATACATATACATATATTTATAATATTTGTATATATATAATTAATGTTGATTATAGCAATGATGATAATTTCGGCAACCATGATGACTTATTTTAATCTTTTATTTGTTCTACCCTTATTTAGTTTGTCTTCTTTTCATTAAGAAACAATGACAATGGTGTGCAAGTGTGGGTATTTTTTTAATTATGTTTTTGACTTCTTTTTTTGAGAAAAAATGTTGAATGCTACCTTTAATTGCTATATATATATATATATATATATTTTGAGTCATTCTATATTCATTTTGATAGTATTACTTAGTCATATAAAAATTATTACATTTTTTTTATCATTCTAGTAGGATCTTACGATCCTCAATCCAATCCTACAATCCAATCCAGCAAACCCCAAAACGATCCTGTGTAGGATCCCGATCTTAACAACCTTGGTAATTTGGCCCATTTTATAGGTTTCCATGCAGAGTGTTGGGTGCTTTGAGCTGTCAGTATTGTACTGCCACATTTTGGGATTATTTGTTGGTGCTCTTATCATTTTCAGAGATGGATCATTCATCACCTTTCAATGTCTTTTTTCACCATGCCAGCATTTGCACACTTTAGTTATGGGCCTGTGTCTCTGCACTGTGATTTAATTATACAAAAAGTGTCATACATTTTTACACCTTGCATGCAACCTAATATCTTTTAGGAAAATGTTTGAGACCCCAAAAAATGTTCTCCCAATTTGACCCACAGTGATGTGCATGATAGATGTCAATTTTTGATTTGTCACACATTCAAGTACATAGGCCCAACTCCCTTGCCACATCATTATGGATGAATTTGTGGGTTTAAATTTTGGAGTCTTTAGCATTTCTCTGCGTTTGGGAAGTAGGTTGACTTTTTGGCTATTTGAGCCTGGGGCTAAAAAGCCTCGTTTGGAAAGGACTTTTTGGCTTTTTTGACTTTTTATGAGAGAAACAATGTAATGATTGTGGGTTGAATGTGATGTTTTGTCTTATTGGGCTAAAAAGCCTATTTTGTCTTTTTGTGGCTAAAATAGCTCTAAACCCAACCCAACCCTTCTTCCCAAATGAAGCCGCATAAACTTTTCAGTGGTTGACTTTTGACTTGTGTTCGAAACAGACTGTCACCTGCTAGTAAGAAGTGGAATATTTCCAATTTTCTAATGTTCTCTACCATGTGCGTAAATAGCAATTCTCTTAACATTGATTGTCAATCTTTCTATCCTGTTATAGGTACTATTCTATGTATGGACATGTAGCGAAACTAGCAGAACAGATAAAAAAAGGGGCTGCATCTGTGGAAGGAGTTGAAGCAAAACTATGGCAGGTAGATGCTAATCTTCAGAAGGCATTATGTATTTATTTTAGAAATAACTATTAAAAGACTAATTACATCTTCTGAAGAATCTAGAATTGATGACCTTTGGAGTTTAATTGCCTAACTGTGACTTGATGTCGTCATTAATGCATTTTTCCAACTATTTTGAGGTGTACATTTTTGTTTGCTTAAAACATATATCATCAATTTTTAAGTTTTCAGATCTTTACTCTTGTAACGAGTTCCTAAGATTTCAGATATTTTCTCACTATTTCGATGATTTCATTTACATCTCTCAATTGCCCCCGCTTGTCCTTTTAGAACATTATCCTTGTATAATGGTGGTCCTTGTCAGTGGTGCTGTCCTTGTTTATCTCTCCGGGTCTGCATCTTTCTAATTTTTCCCCTTCGCTCTTGCATCCTTTTAAATTCATTTATATCTGACCGTCTTTCTTGTAAAATTCTTGGCTTATCCTTTCCTCTCGAGGTTTAACTTAAACTTGTTCTGTTGAACCGGAAACTTCATTATATTATTTTTGCTAATTAACGTTCTTACAAGATTTCAATTTTCTGTTCTGATTATAGTTACTGGCCATAATTTTGATTCAAGAAATTTATTTTTCTAATCTTTGACTATATATAAATGGGCGATGATTGTAAGCTATTTATATTTTTTTTGGTTAATTGAAATGGGGCAAAAAGAAATTGGCCACTTTCTTCCCTAGCTTTTAGGAAGAAAACTCAACAAAAGTTCACCAAGTTTAGTTCCGGGAGTCTGCACTGTGGGATGGGTACAAACCTAACATTGACCATTATGTACAAAGTGCTATACACATTTCCGGGTTAGCATGTGTGGTTCTTGCTTGATCATGACTTCTACTTCAGCATGCTGCATGAATCCTTGTTCTACGCTTTCTTAAAATGAGTTACTTTTCTTGTGGAGCAGGTCCCCGAGACACTACCAGAGGAGGTGCTCGGTAAAATGAGTGCACCTCCAAAGGGCGATGTGCCACTAATTACACCCAATGAACTTGCTAACGCTGATGGGTTCATCTTTGGCTTCCCCACAAGATATGGGATGATGGCTGCTCAGTTCAAAGCGTTTCTTGATGCAACTGGAGGTTTGTGGAGAACACAACAGCTTGCAGGCAAACCTGCTGGAATCTTCTATAGTACTGGATCCCAAGGCGGTGGACAAGAAACTACCGCGTAAGTTCTTGTTTGGCAGTTTTCTATTTAACCATATACAGAACAGCAATTTGAAATCCAATGAAGCAAAATCATCCAACTAAAATGGTTTTTCTCATTGTTGTCAAATTGCGAATCGAATCATGAATTCGAAAATAGTGAATTGTAAATCTTACTGAATTGTGAAATGTAAAATTCACTTTATTTAGCATAATATATAATTTCATATATGTATAAAGATATAAAATACACAGTTTTTAAAATATAAAAAAAATATCACTATAACTAAATTCTATATATGTTTATACATATAAAATCACATATATCAATATAACTAGTTGGTCTCTTTATTTATTTATTTTGTTTTGGAAAATGATTTCATTTTATTCATTATACAATTAGAACTAAATCACTTGAATGTCAATGAATTGTAGTGAACTGTAATTGAATCATAAGATTAACTCAATCTAAGAATCAACTATACGGATCAAATTGTTTACTCGAAACTCCTATTGAATTGGGAATCGTAAGCTTCTGAAAACCGTGGTTTTTCTTAGGTTGACTGCCATTACCCAACTGGTTCACCATGGAATGATCTTTGTGCCAATTGGCTACACATTTGGAGCGGGCATGTTTGAGATGGAACAAGTGAAAGGTGGAAGTCCTTACGGCGCAGGGACATATGCTGGCGATGGCTCGAGACAACCATCTGACCTCGAGTTGGAGCAGGCTTTCCACCAGGGCAAGTACATTGCCGCTATAACAAAGAAACTCAAAGAAGCTGCTTGATTTCTATTTGTAAACAACAATACTATTTGGCATTATTACAGTTTTTTTTTTTTTTAAAAAAAATAAATAAATTTGTCTAGGACTTCAGTGTCCTATTTCTTTCTGATTGTAAAATATTGTTCTTGCCTTAATTGGATTACAGGCATTGTATGTGTTGTACTAAGTACAATGGTTTTTCTCAATAATAAAAGTGTGTTTGCTTTGTTTTCTCTCTGATTAGACTGAAAATCAATTGGCCATACGTCTCTTTTCATTCTCTTTTTATGGAAGTACTAATGGGTCCACATTCCCTCCCCTTCCAGATTGGACCGTGTTGTTTGGCCCGTAATGCCTATCCAGGTTCCTTCTTGACCCATGTTATCAAGGGAAAAGGAAAATGATGAGGGAACTGAAATTACTTTTACATGTTTTTTCTGGTAATTAAACAAAAAACTGGATTATTTTTATTAATATTTTTTACTCATTTTAATAACACACCCTAAAATCAAGGAACAAATTTAGCTTCTTTTTATTTAGTTATTTTCTTTAAATATTTTTTTTCTCTCCATAAATTCAAAATCTAAACATATAAAATTTGTGACATGTTTACATCTAAAATTGTCTATTTGTTTCGAACTTTAATCATCAGATGTGTACAAAACATTTGAAAGAAATTATCTTCTTTCACTTCATTTTCTTTTCCTACGTATTCTCTCTTTTTATTTATTTATTTTTTTTCTTCCATAACTTCAAGATCCAAAATTGAGGACTTTTTTCTTCTCTCCAATCTAATCCAACTTCTATGCAAATAAATTAATTATTGGTTAGCTTTTACCACCCTATTTTGGACACGAGACCTTTTGTCCTAAATTACTGTTTCCTTGTCTTAAAACAGTTGTAATTATTGAATTATGTACTGAGATTTTAACATAATTTAATAACTAAGTATTTTGAAGTAAGGAGACAGAAGAGTATAGAGACAGAGGGATCCTTGTTGCTTGGTCCTATCTAGTAATTGCATTCAAATTTCTTAACTAAAAAAAGCTCATAAAAATAGCATCAATGAGGATCTTCAAGGAGGAGAAAATGCTACTCTATTTTTCACATTATCTTTGTCCCTTTTTCCTTCTTCTCACATCAAACAAATAAAAGGGGAAGATTTTAATCAATATCTCCACTGCTCTCAGTGCTTCTCTTCTTGTTGCCTCATCAATGAATATTTTAGTTTTTGGTTTGGCAGTTCTTGTATATGATGCATTTATTTATATATTAATCCTTGCTATGTGTGCTTTTATTTTTACAATAATTCCATACTGTCCTCTCTCTATATATAATATCAGAAACTTAAAAAACAATCTATTAGTTTGTAAATGGCTGCAATGTGGTTATCTAAAGAATGATTAAGGTCTCGTTTGAGAACAGGTTATTTTAGTAATTTTTTGGCTTTTTACGAAAAGATGTGCAGAAGAGTAGAGAGGTGATGTGACTAGTTTTAGTTAGCTTTTTGGCTAAAATAGTCAGTCCCCAAATGAGGCCCAAGTATTATATAAAGGTGTATTGTGTAATAGTGCGCTTATCGACCAAACTAGAATTCAAAAAAAATGAGAAATTAGACTTAGAAACTTTTTATAAAAAATATTCAAAATATAGCTGTTGGTGGGGGCAGTAGACCCCATTTTGGAGCCTACTTTCACATTACCGTTAGGCTTAAGAGACCCCATCTTAGACCTTCGATAATTTGAAATAGTCATATAAAAAATCAAGATGATTAGCTATCAATAATAACGTTATAAGATTATGTTTATCTTAAAAAATAGATAATTTATATTCAAAATTAGTATTATTGTATATTTTTTAAGACAATTATAATTTCATTTTTTTGGCATAATGAATTAGTCAATAGATGTTATAAAACAAATAATTCAGAATATGAAGTCAAACTAAGATGAATTCACTGAATCTAATAAAATCTCTCTATGTTTAAATCATGAATTTGGATATAGATTTGGAAAATGAAAAAAATTGAACTTATATTTCATTAACATTTTATTTATTTTTTTCATTTTTATCTTTAACTTTCTATCAAATTTGTGACCCAAACATAACCTAATGCCCACAAGAGAGAATTCATTTACTAATAAATAATGCTTAAAAGTTAAAGAATAATTGTAACAAATTGACGTCACACACCACATGCTTTACAAGCATAATTATCATCTATGCTTGTAGGTTCTTTCTTTTTGTATTCATTTGTGCTTCTAAGCTAAGCTGATAAATGTCAACTTCAAAATTAACATCCATGAATGTGATAGATTTACATCATCATAAAATTTTATTTAAAATTAAAAATAATTATTTTCTTTAAAAAGCGTATACTAGTAACATGGTAGGTGTAGATCTTTGATGTGTAATAACTTTCTTTGATGAAAAATGAAATAGAGATAGTAGTCCCTATCAAAAGATATATTACAATTTTTTTGTTTTTTTCTCGTAAATAGAAGATATGTTCGAATATCACATTAAAGAGTTTTTCTTTTCTTTTCTTTTCTTTGAAGAGCATAATCACATTAAACCATTTGATTATATTAGTCAGCTATATCAGTCATTCTTTGATATATAAAAAACAATTCCTCTCAGGAATTTACCTGTTTTCTGTAAATGGATTTGTCTAGATTGTTAAATATAGTGTATATATATATTCTCTTCATATTTATGTCCATATTGAATTCATTCCTATAGGATTATCATACCTCCTTGGCGAAGGGAGTGAAGGCCCGGGGAGGTCACGTGCCCCCTTAGATTTTGAGATTTTTTTTTTTTTTTAAATTTTAAAAACATAAAGAGGATATTTTACATTAAAAAATTATTAGAGTGAAATGTCAATGACATTTTAAAATTTATGAGAACAATAATGATTGTTTTAATTGAAAATGAAAGGACTATTATAAACCATATTATCTATGAAAAGTTTTAAATGTAACGGTGATGTCATTATTATTGACATGTAAGTATAAGTAATCTCACTATAAAGATATGAAATTATTGGATTGTTAGTTATATTTGACATGTGAGGCTTACTCTTTATGTGTTTATATACTATTAGTTAGTGAAATCACATATCAATGATGACGTGGTATTACCATTATATTGAATTTTTAATCAAATTTTGTATAAATTTTTTTTATCATTATATAATTTATTTTAAGACTTATATCCATATTTTTTTTTATATTGTCTATGATACACTAGTTACAAATAACATTATTTTTTTGATATTTCTCGAAATCAATTGTAAAAACTTGCGTGAAATATTTTTGTAAAAATTTTCAATATTGTAATTAATAAGTGTCTCCTCTAATTTAATTTTCTGACTCCGTCACTGCTCTTCTATAAAGAAGTCATGTATTCATTGTTTATACACTGATGATTAATACAGAGTTTCTCTTTTCTCTCACTCTCTTTCTCTTTCTAATATTATAACATAGATTTTGAAATATTTTGATTAAAAAGAAAATAAAGCGTTGTGCCTTATGTATATATATATGAGTATTATATGTAATATTGTGAGTGTTTGGGAAATTGTTATTTTAATAGGTTATTTTATTTTTTGATTATTTTAGTAAGGTAAAATTTGTGTTTGGAAAGATGATTAAATTTTTTTGTAGTTAGATGCGATATTTGTGAGAGAAAAAGTGAAACGATTATGGGTTTAATGTGACATTTTGTCTTATTAGCTATTTTAATCTATTTTATCATTTTGTGAATTTTAATCCTACACCATGCTATTTTATTTTTTATTTTTTTCTTTTTAAGCACCCCCATTGATTGACAAAGTAAGGGGATTTGAGGAGAGCAAAAAAATAAATAAATAACAAGAAAAAAGTGAAAAAAAGGCTTTTCATTCACTTTTCTTTCTCTTTATTCAAACCAACATCTATTAATTACTTGAAGTGATTTTAGAAACCAAAAAATTGTAATTGGTAAACGAAAAATTCAAACCACCTTTTATTTCTTTTTCTTTTTCTTTTTTTTGCATGGGTAAATGGATTGCAAAAATTAATACAACCTAAACAAAATTTTTGGATTAAATTTTTTTTTCTTTTTGTGAAAAGAAACATACAAAAAAAAACTCTCAATCTCTGTCCAGTTCAAGCTAGGGTTTTCATTTTGTGGGTTTTAAAATGTTTGGGTGTAGTGTAGTTAAGATCTATTTAACTATTTTTTTATTTTATTTTTTTATTTTTTCTTTTTTTTATTATAAAAATCATGAGGCCGAGGGGTTAGTTGTGTGAATGCGAGCAACAATAGTAGAGGTAGTTTGTACTTTCCAAATCTCTCTTGATTCATTTCATTCCCTATACTTTTAATTTCATACTTTTAATAAAATTTTCACTTTACTGATAAAAAAAAAAAATTTACTTTAAGGTTGTGATATCACAAACATATCTAATCAAGTAAACAAAAACTATAAATCCAAGGTTTATCTTAGTAGGAGGAGAATGCAATCAAATAGCTTACCACCTAAGAAGTCACAGATTCAAATATCACGAAAGCTATTCAAAGTCACTGTAAATTTACCTCATCGTTAATTTTAGAATCCAAAAAAATGAAAAAATTATAAAATATTTCATAATATTTTTTTTTATAAAGCCAAGCATTACTCAAGTTGCAAAGGGACCATCCATGTTTCAAAAATCAATTGTTTGTGTGTCAACTGTCAAACCAATGTATAATTCCATGGTTTAAACATGAATGAGAGAGAGAGAGAGAGAGAGTTGGGTTTTGGCTTCTCTCCACCTTCCAATGGAAATGCTTCAAAGTGACCAATCGTTAAAGCACAAAAGAATGATTAATAGTTCCTAGACCTATATCTTTCTAATTCTTATACAAAAGTACATTAAAATAATCAATAATACTATATGTACATAAATTTTTTTTAAAAAAAGTTAATTAGTTTAGATTTATTTTGAATGTCTTTCTTATTGAATAATTTGATATATATATTATTAGCCGTCTTTCTTAATAATTTTTTGAATCAAAATTCAAGTTGAGGATGGTTTAGATTCGAATCTACCTTTACATTTTGTTTTTCTCTTTGTATGTCTCTTTACATCTGCACTTGATAGGTTGAATAGTTCGAAATACATTATTAAATTCAATTATTAACAATTTAAGCTTTTCTTTTAGGTTAATTAGTGATAATTTAACACTTACCACACTTAAAATAAATTTAAACCACTTATTTTTTAAACACTATTCTAATAAAAATAACATTACTGGAGGGGGAAGTTAAAGAATTCAGTTTTCCTTCAAAGAATTGGTGTTCTGGACCATCATGCTTCGGTTAATTGTGTGTTCTGTAGAAATGTTTTTGAAACAGTGTCTCATGTGATGCTCTGGTGCCCTTTTATTTGGCAAATTTGGTCTGATCTTTTGAACTGGTGGGGGATGCAGTGGGTTGTACCTGCTACTGTGGATGGTCTTCTTCAATGGTGAAGGAGTTTTAAATGGAGAAAGCTTGATAACAAAATCTGGAAAGTAATGCCTTTGGCAATCATGTGGTCAACATGAAGGTATAGAAATGATGTGGTGTTCAATGGGAAGCAAGCTATTTTGGAAGAGATTTCCGTCTTGATTAAGTTGAGAATTATTTTCTGGGTAAAAGCTCACACCAAGGAGTACCCTTATACAGTGCAGGATTTCATCTCCAATTTGCAACAGATTAGATGTTAATTAGGCTGTCTTGTTTGGTCATTCTGGTTTTTGATAGTTTGGTGTTCTGTTGTTTAGTCCTGTTATAGTATTTGCTGTTGGGTGTTGTTTGTCTTGTTAATGGGTTTGGTTTTTTTTTTTGTTTTTTGTTTTTTTTTGTTTGGTTTCTCACCAAACTTGCGGTGCTAGCACATGATTGGGTGATCATGTTGGTGCCAACATAGTTGGGATGAGTATGATATACTATGATGCTTGTTGCATTTGTTCCCCTCTATTAATTTTTTTTTACTGTAATAGCCTTCTTTCATCAATAAAATTTCATTTTGTTAATAAAAAAAATAAAAATAAGATTAGTGTAAAATAAAATTCAATAATAATAATGATCTAAAAGGAGTAAAGTGGGCACATCCTCTGACTTCCACTAACATATATATATATATATTCCAAAACATATAAACATATAAAAAGTGAAATTTCTAATCAAATGATCTCCCCCACATCCTCTCTCTGTCTCTCACTCACTGCTATTCTGGGATTCAATTATTCCTTTCATTTCTTTTCATCTTTTGTTTCTTTTAAACTAAAGCTAGTGCCATGCACATGGAGAATACAACAATTCAAAGCTCCTTTATCCTCCAAGTCCTCAAAACTAAAAATAAAAATAACAAAAATAAAGCAAATTAATTCTCTATTAATTAAATAACTAATTTACACATTTTCTCTAATTCTAGCACCTGTTCTCATTCCTAATTACCAACCCTTTAATCATAATTCTTCAATTATTACAAAGACTTCAATTAATGGTCCCTAATAACAGCCAAAGCTGCATCATCATTTTGCCTGCAGCTGCCCCCAACAATGGCATGTCCTTTAATAGATAACCAATCATAAAAAATAATCGAGACTATTTCATTCAGAGTGCTTCGTTTTTATTTTTTATGATTGGTTCTATTTTCCTAAATTTATTGTTCCTTCTATCTTTATCATAAATTTCCCAACTTAGCTAGGGCTTGATGAATAACGTTACAGACACAACCTTTGGCACAAAAAAATTTGCAAAAAGTGAAATATGTGACCTAAATTTATCTCTAGTATGGTGTGAGCCACACAAAATGAATCCAGGCCACACACTATACTTTCTGTATCAAATCAAACCATTCGGGTTTGATAAGATATCTAGCTCCAACGATCGGTCCCATGCCCGAATGTGGGTGGCTTCTTCTGGTTTCCTTGTTTATCTAAAGGTTCCTCCAAATGTAGGGCCCCAAAAATCAACTGTTGTCTCATGAGTTACCGGGTAGGTGCTTGAAACCGGTACCAAACATAATCCTCGACTTCTAAGATCTTGCTTTGCTCCTTCTGGGTCCTTTGATTTCTCAGATTTCTGCGCGATGAGGATCGAAAATGTCTTAATCATTTTCGAAAAAAGGAGAAGAGTAGAGCATTACTAACAAGATTTCAGCATTTATAGTTGATTATTTCATGGTTAGGAGGAATAAAGAGAGTTTTGTACCTTCTGGTGTTGTATGGAACCTCCACTTTTCATGTATGGACTGCCAAAAGCCTGATATATTGTCTAAGAAAAAAGAAGAAAACATGTATAAGAAATGGTTAATTAAGGCCTTTTTCTTGTTTTGTATAGAATTCTGTTGAGAATATAAATAATAAAGATTACTCTCTTTTCGAACTCGGATTATTGTTGCAACTCAAGAAAGTTAAACATCGTCGCCACAAAATAAAAATATGGAGCACAAAAAGGGAGAAGTGGTTTGATGGAAAGAAAATGGTAAAGGAAGATGACGAAGGAGAATCAATGTTGGAAGTCATGCAGAAATTTTAGCTCTGATATCATGTTAAATTATTAATCAACAACGTATCTTAAAACATAAGCTATTAGAGGCACGCAATTGTGCTTCCCTGCTTCACCAAGAAAAACATTGCTTTTGTGGGTGAAAGGTACGCTACGAATTCATGCTTGTCCTTGTGAAGGAATCTTAATCCGTATCTTGCTCTTTTCTTTTGCCTCAAAAGTAACCATTGCTAGATATATCCTCAACGAGTTGAATGAACTTTGACATAAATTTATTTATTTTTATTATTATTTACATCCTCAACAAATTGGTAGAACTTTTCACAATTATGTTACAACAAAGATTCTTATGGTACTTACATTAACTTGATCATGGAGGAACTTTATGTATTCAATTGCTTCAGAGAGCACTGAAGCTGTGTCAGTCTGAAACAAAACATGATTCAATCAATCAAAGTAAGTTTTAATTTTTATGAATTCAGAAAAGAAAAAGAAAATGATCTCTACTATATCTTTTGTAGTGAAAGTAAAGATATGATACACACACAAGTTTACCTTTCCGAAAGGCGAAACTAATTGTTGGAGCGCAGTGATTCTGTCCCCCATCTTCTCTTTCCTCACCTATGAATAAAGCTATATGAGTTTTCATCGATGGCTATGAAAGAACAAAACAAAAGGTCATGTCTTGTTTGATTGTGTTTTCATTTTCTGGAAAACACAAGATCGTAAAAAGATTTTGTAAACTTGCGCGTACCTTAAAAGGTGGCAAAGGTGAAGTTGTTTCATTACGCGGCCTTTTGTTTGATGCTTCACTGCCACTACTTTTTTTTGCCTCCCGAACCTCCGACGTAATCTGCATATTTAGAAAAGATTACAATCTAAAAAAAGTCGAAACCCTAGTTGTTATCATGAAAAGTTATCACCGTTCATTCAAATCTTTCTTCACTAACCCGTTACCTTAGGTTTCTCATCGAAGGTTGGTGGAGGAAACGGCGGTTGCAAGGGTGGGAAAAAGCTTGGCCGGACATCGTTCATGGCGGCTGCGGTTGCATTCCAAAACGGAGTGTTGTTGGAGAATTGCAATTGACTATGTGGTTGTTGTTTGGGAGGTGAAGTTCTTAGGAACTGAGAATATTTGGACCATGAATTAGGCAATAGTTCATCGGAGTTCAAGCCAAAGCTTGGCGGATATGGATAATTCATTGGTCTATTCTCAAAATCAGACTGTTGTTGTTGTTGTTGACTATCTGATCCTAAAACTCCGTGTAGTATCGTTGAAGGGCTTCCATAAGAAATTTGATCTATCTGAAAACTAGTAGCTAAGCCTTGACATGTAACAACACTATCGAACTGTGGTTGATCCAATGAAAAACCCCGGTTTGCGGTGACTGAGGAATCGTCAGAGCTGCCGGAATATATTTTCTGTCTCCACTGGCCTTGTGATGACCCTATCCCAGTTTCTTGCTGAAAACTGGCGGTTGAGCGCAAATCGTCTTGAAGCACTGGACGGAAACTATCGGCTTTTCCACCGCCACGACTGCCGGAAACATAAAATAAAATAAAAAATGAACAATCTAAGCATCAATATGAATTTGTTATATAGAAATTGAAAATTTGAGGGGAAAAAAAGGAAGATCGATGTTGTTCTTGTTTTAGGGTTCTTGAAATACTGAACTTACAGTAGGCAGTGAGATTCGAATACAAGAAAACTGTTAAAATTCTAGTTTTAGTTTTAGGGTTTTGAAATACGGATAACTTACAGTAAAGTTTGGTTCCAATCCATGGCCTGAGCTGAAAGGCCTAAACGCATCATTTGTAAGCTAGGATCCACCAGTACGCTGCCACTGTCGCCACCACCAGAATCCTGCCCGGGCATCTTCTGGGTATCATGGAAAACCATTGAACTACCAGATACGGAGACCGAATCCATCGAAGACCGTGCTTTGAGGTCGACAATCTCTGTCGGCCATCCAAAGCTTCCCACACTACTCAGTGCAGACGATGAAGGCGGCGACGCCCCGCTGTCGAACCGGTTTCTCGATGAATTTGAGTCCCACCAGTTTCCACTGCCTATCTGGAATTCATCAGCCATGATCAGTAGCGAGTTCAGCTTCTTTTATATTTGATATCTCTCTCTTTTTCCCTGTTTTTTTATTTTTTTTTGTCTGCTGATTCTTCAATTGGTGTGCAAAGATTCTCTAGTTCTTGGGGGGTTTCTTTCTTTTGTGGGTTGTCTTGGTTCTCATAAAATGATGAACTGAAATCGATTCTATGCATCTCACTATTTATACCAACTTAAGCAAAGAAATGAACAGAAATTTAGTTGACTTTTGTGACGGGGGTGTTGATTAAGATTAGATAGAGGAAAGGTCAATTTGAAACCAAATTCACATGCTTAGCCAAGTAAAACAAATATATAAAACTAAACTCCCTTTTTATTTCTTTTCTTTTTAAAATTTCTTTTATGTATTTCTTTGTTTTTGTTGAATTCAATAAAAAAAAGTAGAAATATTTTAGTTTTTATTTATTTATTATTTTTTTTTGGTGGTTTCCCATTAAGTCCATGGCAAGTCAATATTGATAGTGCATGACAAAAGTATACAACTTAATTTACCTAGAAAATCGCTTCTCTCCATGAGTTGTGAGAGGAGTGGGCCTCATTCTCATCAAATTTATGAAAAATAGTTGTGTGGTATTGAGAATTCGTGTATTTAAGCTTGTTTTGGAAGTAAGAAAAATTATTGTCTTATTTAGATCACGTCACTTATCTATTTTTTTGTATATATTTTTTTAAAAAAGTAAAAAAATATCAATAAATCAGTTTTTTTCTTGCTTCCCAAAACAAGTCTTATTAAGAAGTTGTAAATTGGTCTTTCTTTCTCCCAAAAAAAAAAAAGAAAAAAATCGCCAGTTGTTTGTGCTAGAATTCAACAAAAATAAAAATAAGTTTTTGTATGTATGAGGTGTGTTCACTTAGTTAGGGAAAATTTCTGATGACTCATAACTAATATGCCTTTCTAGTGAAAAAGTATCTAATTATTCCAAATTACTGCTTATGTGGTGCTTATACTATCTTATCTAATTTGGGGATAAATCCCTAATGACTCAAACAAGTACACAATCACATGATATTCTCAAAAGATAGATTAATTGGTTGATAAAATGCACAACCATAGTTCACATTTTGGCTTTTATCCTTCCCAAATGTACTTTTATTTTTATATTTTAAATTTTAATTTTAAAAAATAAATAAAAAATATTACCAAAAAGGTCAATTTTTTTATTTGTTCAAAAAAGAAATGAATCTCTACCCTTCAAACTTGATAAGATAGCACACCAAGAGTGGTCTAAGATTGCATATGATTGGTCTTATCTCGGGTGCCAACATAGTTGGGATGCGAGGTTTTGACAATGATACAATTCTATCCATAGCCTTGTTGTTGTATACTTTTATCTTATATTAATAAATTCTTTTTTGCAGATTAAAAAAGAGTGGCCTGAGGTGTCTGAGGTGCAGCCCAAGCAACAAACTGAGCATAAGGCACAACAGTTGCATAAAAGCCAGCTCAGACAAAGACACAAGTGCAGCCTCATCAGTTAGCCTTAACATCTCGTGTATCACAGACATGTATGGTTAGTGAACCCAGCTGTTACAGCTGTGTGAGCTGTGGTGTTTAGGCAGTTAGAATAAAGTAAGTTAAGAGTTTGTTATCAGTAAACTAGCTTAGTATATAAACATTTGTATCCATTCTCTGATTAATCAATCAAGATATTAGATTCACAATTTCATCAAAACCCAAATCCAATGGTGTGAAATTTAAAAAAAGAAAGGTGTTTGGTTTTAGTTTTTTGAAAACATTTTTTAGAAAATTTTACTTTCTTATTTTTCTTATTTTTTTGTTTTTACTAAATTTTTTAAATATTTTAAGCAATTTTTTGAATTTTTAAACACACCTAACATAAATACACTTAAAAAGTATAATTTTGTGAAAAAAAATCTTTAAAAAATTCACTAAATACCAAAAATATGAAAATTTAGTATATTTCTTGTATTTTTGTGTATTTATTAATTTTTTAAAATATTTTTTTATAAATATTTTACTTTTTATATACATCTAAGTAAGGTGCATTTAAAAAAGTAAAAAAAAAATATTTAAAATTTTAAAAATATTCACTAAAAACAAAAAAAAAATACAAAAAACTCAATTTTCAAAAAATTTAATCCAAAAAACTGAAACCAAACACATTTATTTCAAAAGAAAAATCCATATTTTTAATTCAGGTATTGTTTTCAAGTCCACAGCGAGAACAATTAAAGAATGGAAAAGATTAGATCGAACTTAAATATTTTGGTAACATTTTATATAAATCAAATATGGGTTTTTGAAGACAATTTGACTGAGGCTTGAGGCATAGCCATTTGCTGGATACAATAATTAAAACCCAAGAGCATTTTCCACCTGAATCATTTCATAAAACCCATTATTATCTCTGAATTTCAAAGTGGGATCTCCTGAAAGAGCAACACAGTCAATTAAGTGTCAATTTTGCCATTGAATATGCGTTCCCTTTCTCACCAGAATGTTCGTGTTTCGCTTAGACTAATATATGAAAACATATTTTTTATGTTCCGTTTATTTGGGTGGAAAATATTTTTTGAGAAATATTTTTGATATTTTCTAGTATTTGTTACAATTCAAAATGGAAGTCAACAGAAAATATTCTTTATCATCAACAGAAAACAAGCTTATTTGAGCGAAAAATATTTTTCATTTTTAAAAGGCAGAAAATATTTTACCAATGTCACTATACCACCACCACCACCTCCATCTCCACCTTCGTTCCACCACCACCATCACCAAACATAGAAAAATATTTTTTGTGAAAAAAAATTTGCAAAAAAAGTTTTTCGTTAAAAATATTTTTTGTCCAAACAAACGGAGCGTTAGATATATCGGTTAATTATCAAGCTTAAAACTTAAAGTGACTTAAGTGGCATTGAAGATGCAACTTGTGCGCAATAACAGCCCCATTATTGAAAAAACCACAATTCAATTATTAAACATTTGATCATGTTTTTTCTTATTTATTTTTATTATCATGTTTACCAGCTAATGTTTCATTTTTTAGGCTTTAGGTTGCTGAATCTTACCAACTTCTTCCCATAGGAGTTTCTGTATTCAAGAATTGTTTCTCACATTTTCGTCAAGAACAAATGATTGCAAACTAATCAGCATTCACTTTTAAGAGTTCATAGATTTGGGCTATGATAGCTTTCAAAATCATATTCTGCTAAACAAGAACCTTAAGTCATTTTAGGAAGGTGTGGGAAGAGTCACAAATAACTGGATGGGGTGGGTTTGTAATGCTTAAGAAACTTCAACTGCTATACCTGTGAAGCTGCAGTGTGCTGAGAAGAAATTACATGAAATTGATTTGCTACAAGAAACCAGAGAGCTATCTGATGTGGAGAAATTAAGTAGAAGGGACATCAGAGATGAGGTGTGGAAATTGAGTAAGATGCAAGAATGGTTATGGCTCCAAAAATCAAGACTAAACTGGGTGCATAAAGGGGTAAAAATACCAGATTTTTTCATATTATGGCAAGTTACAGGCAGAATAGGAATGCCATTGGATCCTTGAATTTTAATGGAATTGTATATGATGAGCCAGTCCGAGTTAAACATGAAGTGCTTAATTTTTTCAAAGCTCATTTCACTGAAGTGTGGAGGTCTCGGCCAAAGTTGGTGGGTAACTTTAAATCTATTGGCAGTGCAGCAGTGGCAGACCACATTGAGGCAGAATTTTTTGAGGCAGAAATCTGGGCTGCAGTGAGAAATTGCGATGGGAATAAAGCTCCGGGGCCAAATGGATTTAATATGGTTTTTTTCAGAAATGTTGGAAGGATGTAAAGAAAGAGGTTCTACAGTTTATGCAAGATTTTCACCGGTATGGCAAATTGGTGGGTGGTATAAATAGTTCTTTTATTGCTTTAGTGCCGAAGAAAGATAATCCTATTAGTCTTAGGGACTACCGACCTATAAGTTTAATTGGGTCTATGTATAAGATTCTTTCTAAGGTGTTGGCTAACCGATTAAAGGTGGTGATGCCTAGAATAATTAGCAAAGAGCAGTCAGTGTTTGTAAGAGGTAGAAGTATCCTTGATGGGATTTTAATTGCAAATGAAATTGTTGATTGGTGGAAGAAAACCAAAAGATGAGGTATTATTCTGTAACTTGATTTCGAAAAGGCTTATGATTCTGTCAATTGGTCCTTTTTGCTATCTATGATGAAGAATTTTGGTTTTGGAGCAAAGTGGCTGTCTTGGGTGCAGGAGTGTATCTCAAATACTCGAGTTTCAGTTCTTGTGTATGGTTCCCCCACATCGGAGTTTAGTCCATCTCGAGGTCTTAGGCAAGGGGATCATCTCTCCCATTTTCTCTTCAATATGGTAGCAGAGGGTCTTAACATCTTATTGACTAGGGCTAGGGAGTTAAACTTATTCAAAGGTGCAGTTCTTAAGGGTAACGAAATCTCAGTGTCCCATCTTCAATTTACTGATGATTCTCTTATTTTTTGTGAGGCAGAATGAGGAGAAGTGGTGAATATCAAGAGGATTCTTCGATGCTTTGAAATGATTTCTGGGCTACGGATCAATTTTCACAAGAGTGTTATTGCTAGCATTGGGGTTCAAGATGACTTGTTGGCTGCAATTGCTGATAGGCTGAATTGTAAGTGTCAAAAACTTCCATTTAAGTATTAGGGGCTAACCCAGGAAGATTGAAGACTTGGAAGCCAATTGTGGATAGAGTTAAAGTTAAGTAAGCTAGTTGGAAAAGAAGGTTCTTATCCATTGCTGGGAGACTTACTCTTATCAAAGCGGTTTTGTCTAGCCTCCCAGTGTACTATCTTTCACTATTTAAGATGCCTGAAGGAGTTGCTAAAGAGTTAGACAAGATCCAAGCTGCTTTTCTGTGGGGTGGATCTGTGATCAAGAGCAAGATCCACATGGTTAAATGGTCTGAAGTCACTAGAAGTATTATTAAAGGTGGGTTAGGTATCAAGAGCCTAAGGGATGTTAATGTTTGCCTACTACTAAAGTGGTGGTGGAGGTTTGGCGATGATGAGAATTTGATGTGGAAGAAAGTCCTATGTGGGAAATATAACATTCAAGGCAGCAAGTGGTACCCAAATACGGAAGCCTCCCAGCTGCATTCCCGGTTATGAAAGGATATTCTCTCTGTGGCAGCTTTCAACCCTGTC